CCTCATTTCCATCCCCTCTTCTTAGCATGAGACGATACCAGCTCTCTCTTATCCTGCCTGCCCACAAACGGGGGAAGTCGGCACCTGGACTCTACAAAGTTCCTTAGGATTCGCTGAACTGTAGCCTCACCACCCACCCGGGGGCTCTTCCCTCACAGGGGACATGTGTTCTGAGAGCCTGAGGTGTAAGGTACAGATAGCTCCGCAGGGACACGCCAGACCACCAACCTGCCGAATTTCAGTCTGCTCAAGTGATTCTCCTCCACACCCCAGGGCCACTGGCTTCCAGAGACTTGCTAGACGCTGGCCCAGCCACCCCAACTGCTGTTGCTTGCCTTGGGGACCGTCTCTGGTAATTACTTTGGAGCACCTCCCTTCCCTCTCTAACCGTGAGGACCAGGAGAAGAGAAAGTGCGAAGATCGGCATTAAGAGGAAGGAGGCATCTGTGGCAGTAATAGTTGATCGAGATTTAAAAACAAGCTCAGGAGGGCTGAGCCTTGGGTCCCGGAGCTGGTGGCGAGTTGAAGACCGGGTTTTCTAATAAGGGTGGGCTAGTCCAAGGTAGCTGATGGAGGGGTAGGGATGCCGCAGCCACCTGGCAGGGTCCGGGGAGGAAAGTCAATTGCCCCACCCCTTTCCCTGCCTGGGGAAGTAGGCAGGGACTTGAGCCCGGGCAGCAGCTTTAATGAGGAGATGCTCTGCAGTGACTCAGCCCGGCAAAGGTGCCTCCATTTATTTTATTTTCCATCATAAAAACTCAAGCTGCAACTCAGCCAGATTCCCTGGCTGTGGGGGTGGGGAGTATCGGCACTGCCAGGGAAGCAGGAAGAGGCGTCCAACTGATGTTGTGCCCCCCCCACCATCACCGCCACCCCGGGCCTCCTTTGAGAGTCTGTGGGTTCCCTTCCAGGGTGTCTACCAGGGAAGAGTCTGAGGTGGGATCTCTCTGGGGACCCTTGTGGACCCACTTTTGCCGTCTCCCCCTCTGTAGGAGAATGACCGTGCTAGGCCTGTTACCCTCCGCTTTGCCGCTCTGTTTCCTACTTTGTAATTCACAGTTGGCTACTTTGTAACTCTAGTATCAAGGCTGGTTGGCGTCCCTCAGCTGTTTGGTGTCTCACATGCTTTCTCCTAAGAGCCACCCTTGTGGCTCTTCCCTGGATGCCTGCCCCGCTGAGTACAGTCAGGTTGGTAGTCAAAGACCGTAAAGGTCATCCGATGCTCAGGTCCCTCCCAGTGTCGCCTCTGGGTACGCAGCCAGCCTGTCCGAAAGGTACCAGGAAACACACCACTTCCAAGACAGCCCATGCTGTCCTCGGCTCTCATGGCTCCTTCCTGCCAAGATGGCACCAGATCACCCACCCCCTGCAGACTAGCAAAACCGGTGCCCAGCCTGGCCCCAGCTTAGACTGGTTGAGTAGGTGTATCTGGCCAAGTAGAGTCTTCAGGAAGGGAAACTGAGGGCGATCTGGTTTACCCAACCCAACAACCCCTTCCAGAAGCAGCACAGACCATTCCCCAGTATCCCCAGAGCCAGGAGGGTTCCAGCAGCTTCCACTTCTGGCAATACCAGGCTTTGAACCTTTGGCTCACTGAAGTTCTGGGTGCTGATACTCTGGTTGCAAGAGCTGAGCGTGCAAAGCCAAGCTCTTAGCTCCTTGGGGTAAGTCTGTGGCCATTCTCCCAGCTTAGGCTGTTTCCTGGGCCAGCTCCCTTGGCCTCATCTTTCCTGACCTCCCTACCATTGAAGGAAGGCTGTGTCTCTGTATGACGTGGGAGCAATGGTCTGCCTAAGAAAAAGGGTCCTGGCCTGTAATCCCAGTAGGACAAGGAGACGGGCCTGGCTCAGTGAGCCCTCGGGCGACTGGTCCGGATGGCAGGTCTGCTATCACAGAGCTCCGGTGGGTAGGCAGGCCAGCTCCTCTGCGTGCAGTCAGTGGCCATCCCCGTGAACTTGATCTCTTGCCTATTTGGCTCTTTATCCAGAACAGTCTACTTGAATCTTTTACAGGACCGCTCTTCCCTTCTCAAGAGGGGCCTTAGAACCAGATCCCACATAAACAGGGGCAAGTCCTTTGTCATAGCGCTACTGCTCCTACAAGTCATTTCTACCCAGGTTCCAGTGTGTTCAGGCCCAGGAATCAGCCTGGGGTGGGGGTGGGGGCTAATCCTGGGGAGCTTCCCAACTATAGGATGGCTCTACCTGTGTTTGAAAGCTTCTTCCCTGCACCCCTCCCCCTCTCAATACCCTCCCCCAGGGAAATCACTCTAAAAGGGCCTAATGGAACCCTGTCCTCCTCTCTTCCTCTCTCCTCCCTCCCTCCCTCTCTCTCTCTCTCTCCTTTTTTTTTATTAGCATTTGTGGAATTTATTCCCAAACTCTCCTAATCTTCCGTACACAACCATTTGATTTGCATAACCCAACCCCCTCTCATAAAAACTGGCTGCTAGTTTAATTAAAAAATGTAAATTTGCTGTCATCTCGGGGCCTGGTGAATTAGGACGACATCGGCATTTTTTATTGCTAAAGACGTCCAGATTGATCCAGCCCTTGGCTGAACTATGGTGGGGGAAAAGGGGTTCACACGGCTCTTGAGGGTCTTGAGATCATCTTGTCCCCTCCTGAGAAACCTCAAGTCTCCCCTGCCACTGAGTTACTCATGGTCAGAATGCTTCAGGACTTCTAGGTGTCCAAGGCCGGAGGGGAGAGTTAACCCATCATCTCGTACTTGTTGGAGATCTCTGATGCTGACACCTCTTTGGGGCTTTTCCCTCCTTACCCTGTGCTGAGGCCCTTAGCTGCTCCCATAGGAAGGAAGCCCTGCACTGTACCGCACTGGCAATAAGCCTTGGCATGTCCCTGTGTATCAGGGGATCAAGGGAGATGCTCTCAGCTCCTGGAGATGAGAGTGGAGTTGTCCCAGAGATGGGCTCAGGGATGATAGATCTGAGTCCCATTCTGCTTCCCCTTTTTGGTGAAGTGAGGGAAAAGGGCTCTTCGTCTGAAGTTCTGAGATTAAGTGAAACTCCCGAGATCAGAGAAGAGATGGGAGGTATCATTAGACAACTCCTCCAGGAAACAGAACTTTGACACCACGGACCTTCCCTCTCTGTGTGGCCAGAGTCCAGCCTTGGGTCCCACTGGGAGTGCCCTGCTCCAGCTGACTTCCTGGCCATTCTAGCTTCTAGGAAAAGTTTCCAGAGCCTGTCCCTGGAGTGTGGAGAGCAGTACATCTCCCCAGAGTCCTTAAGGTACCACAGGAGGCTCCGTCACTTGCCTCCTGCCCTGCCGTCGTGACACTCCCCCAGAAGGGCTGGGAATCGTGCCTCCATGGCAGCCTAGGAGAGACTGGCATGGCAGGATGGGGGCCAGCTCCAGTTGGCACTCAGGTCAGAAGGAAGAGGGTAGGGCCCGCCTTCCAACTGAGTAATGCCTGAGTCCCTTGTGCTGGCCCATAAACGGCTCTCCTGTGCCAGGTAGGGGTGGTGCCAAACACTGGGCCTGTCTCTGAGGTCTGCTTCTTGGCTGGCATGGGTGGGGGCCCCATTTCTGAAGAAAAGGGGGTGGGTCCTGAAAGGGTGGTGATGAGACACCTGATTAGAGGTGGAGGCGGGCTGGTTCTCTGTGGGGTGGAGGACAGGGAGGGGCAGCGTGGCAGCAAAGGCTTCAAGACACCTTCCTCAATCTGCCCAGCAGGGGGCGTCATGCCCTTCCAGGGCATGGATGTCCAGAGGACTTCCATATCCCATTAGCCCAAAACACCTGTTTCTACAGTCTCACAGCTCTGGGTAGGTTCCCTGCCCCCACAACGCACATCCCCGATTCCCCTCTGCAGCCTCCTGCCCTCTCTGCCTTACTCTCCTTTGACCTCAGAGAGGCAGCTGTCACTGTATGGGTCCCACGGGACTATGCCATGAACTTGGACACATCTAATGACAACTCTATCTAACATCACCTTTTCTCCCCAACCTCCCCCACCCCAGTGAAACAGAAGGGGCCAGGGACTGGTTCTGATGAAATTATCAACCTGCTTTTCTCTAAGACACCCAAGGAGAGGCTGCTTTAGACCGCCTAGGATGTGAAGGTCCCGGCCCAAGTTTGGTTCTGACAGAGGAGGCTGGTAGGAGGCCAAAGAACTACCTAAGGTAAGCCTCACTGGACTCAGGCTGCAGACTCAGATGAAAAGAGAACCACCGAATACAGTTAAATCAAAACTAGAAAGACACCAAATCCACTGGTTAAACTCTGCCCCAGGCCAGTGGGCACCAACTGGAGTCAGCCCTACGCCATCCCCGGCTCCCCAGACTCAGATATCTGAAATGTAGTCTTTGGTCCGGCCTACCATCACCTCCCAGGGTGGGGGCCAGAAGGGGGGCTGAGAGAGAGTCCTGGGCCCCTTACTTTGAACTGATAACAGCCACCTCAGCCCACAGATTCTCAGGTGAAAAACACTCATTAGCCATAATAAGCAGTTTGATCATCCGACACAGCCTTGTCCCAAATAAATTAAATTCCTTTACCTTGAGACAGTCGCCCCGAAACCAGACTAACCACCTTTCCCAACAGGACGCTGCTTTCAAAAACTAAACCACCCCCCACTAAAAAAATAAAAACACACACCCCATAAGCCACACACACAAGAGATCTTTGCAAAGGGAAAAGTGTGTGTCTAAAAAACACAAGAGAAAAAACACGGAGAACAAAAACCCCCACAAAAAACCCCTAAATCCTCTCTCTCTCTGGGTGCCCCCCAGCTCCCTGTCCCCTCGGTTCTTTCATAATGACAAGCATCAAATTAGTCACAGTCACTAAGCAAGTAACAAATAACAATATCACCATCCAGAAAGCAGGGCTAGCAGGGAACATGGGCACAGACCCTTGGCGCCTGTCCGGTACCCTCGGCTCAGCTGCTAGCTCATTGGGCTAAAAATACTAACTTCCGTCAAAGAACCGAAAGAAAAGTGAAAGAACCTCCCCGTAGGTTCCCACCGCCCGTACCTGTTCCAAGATCCATTCTCCGCTCCTTGGTCCCAAACTCTTCGAGAAACGCCATGAAAAGAAGAAGAAGAGAGAAAAGAATGTGTTTAGTGTCTCGCGGGCTCCCAGTCCCCGCCCGCCCGCTGTCCCTCCCCGCCGGGCCGAGCGCATCCCGGGCTGGGGGGCGCGCGCCGGGCCGGGCCGGGCCCGGCCGGGCCGGGAGGGCAGCGGCGGGGAAAGTTTGCTCCGCGCCTCCCGCTCGCTCTCACGCTCCGGCCCCGCACGCTCCCGGCAGCTCCGAGTTCCTCCAACTAAAACAGAAATTGCCGGTGGCCGTGGCCGGGCCGGGGATCGGACCCGCCAGGCCGAGGGCCTCCCGGACTCCCCGCCCCGTCCCGTCCCGAGCGCTCAGGGGTCGCCGCTCGGGCCCGGCCCGGCCCTCCCCCGCCCGCTCCCGGTACTCACCATAGTCGGAGAGTCGAAAGCCGAATTCACTTAAATAATCAACTTTCATAATACTTAATTAATGCCTAATTGCAACTGATTACTCCCCGAATAACAAGTTGTTTTAAAATCCTGATGTCATTGCTCCTGACGGTAACACTCAGGGTAACAGTTTGGCAGGAGGGAGCGGGGCGGGCGGGAGCGGCCGGGCGCTGCCAGGCGCCGAGGTGATTGGCAGGGCGACCGTGGCACCGCCCCTCGCCGGGCGGGCGCGCGCGCGGCTCCGGCAGGTGAAAGATCAGACTCGCGCGCGCGCGCCTCGCCCCGGCGCCAAGGTGAATGGGCGCGCGCGCCCGCCCGCCCGCCCGCCCGCGCCTCTGGCACGCGCGCGCCCGTGCTCCCAGCGCACCAGGCTCGGGGCGGGCAGTGTTGAGTCTCCGAAGCTCAGAGCGGAGGGAGGCGGGGCCGGCGCTCGTGGGGTCGCGTGCGAGAGAGGGGGAGACTGGGGTGTCTGTGCGGTGTGTGTGGTTGCGCGGGGGACGTCGTGCGCCCGAGCGAGGCGAGGAGGTGGCACTCGCGCACACGCGCCTACCCTCGCCGCGGACGGGCGCGCGCGCGCGCTCGCTCTCCTCGGCCGCTCGGGCAGTCGGCCACCCTGTGCGCGCCCGCGCAAACTTTTCCGCGCGGGAGCGAGCGCAGGTGCGAGGCTTTTTTTTTTTTTTTTTTTGCGGCACACGCGCGCGCTCCTGCCGCTCCCTTCGGAGCTGCCCTTGGGCTTCGGGTGGGGCCGGTGTGGAAGGGGTTTTGTTTCCCTTGCTCACCCCCACTTCCCTCATTTTGTTGTAGCTATTGGAGTTCGAAGAAGAAAGGAGTCGCGGGCTGCCGGCGCAGCTGGGTGTGTCGGGGAAACTCGCACGTCAGCCTTGCGCTCCCCGTGCGCACTCCCGCCCGCTGGCCTCCACGCTCCCGCAGGCCTCACAGGCAGAAGTTTCCACCGCTTCGCTTTGAGTTTTGCCTTTGAAATGGCCCTTGAGGTTCACACACACACACACACACACACACACACACACACACACACACACACACACACACACGAACAGTCAGACCACACATGTTCCCAGGCCTTTCTCATTCCTCCGCCCCATCTTTTTCCCTCACAGTTTCTAGGCAGTCTCCTCCCTTGATACACGTCATCGCTCGGGCTTCCTTTCCATCCCTGGACACAAGCACCCCTCAACCAAGTTGGCCAGTGCTCTGACACCTGTTCCCTGGGAACCACACCCTGCCCACTCGGATGTCCCTTAGGGCTGGACCAAAGTCTTTCTTGCCTTTCCCTTTCTCCCTGGGTTTGTAGGTCTCCTGCCACCCTCCCATATAACCCAAGGTGGTCCACCCAGTAGCCACGGGTATCCATGACTCACGTTAGCATCTGGCTTGGAGGGGCTCGAGGAAAGCAGAGAGCAGGACCTCAGCAGGCTTACTCAATACCTGCTCCCACCGTGCACAACTTCCTGTCCCTCGGTGGCCCAGCCTGCTGTCTACCTCTCCCTACCGTCCTCTCTCCTGTTGCAGGATGGGCCACACTGTCTTCCCATGAGGGAAGGAGAATGGTCTGGGAAGCATTCAGGAAAATGGCGCTGGCCTATTTTTGCAATATTTCTATTTTGCAAAGGGAGGGGCCCAAGGAGGCCTTGGGGCAAAGACGTCAACAGAGTTAACAATCTACTCTTTCTCCTACTTTCCCCTTCTTTTTCTCCTTTTCTTCGGACTGCTCTTTAGTTCTAAATGGCCCCACGAAGGATACAGCATCTCTCTCTTGCTCTGCCACCCTCCCTAATCACATCTTGGCGACCTCAGTCCAGGTTCATCCCCCATACTTCAGGTCCGTTTCCATCCCTATGTGCCAAGTCCTGACTTTACTGGGTGTCCACTGGCCCTAAAACCCCAAGTAAAGAAATGGGCCCCCTTAAACCAAACCATGTGCTCCCCAACGGCTGGCCCAGGGAAACCAGAGAGAGAGCACCATAAGCCCAGCTTCCCTGTGGGATCTCTGTGTCCAGGACTGCCCTGGGAAACCCTCTGTGGGTGCTGCTGTCCAAACCCCCACCTCCCCCAAACCCCAGTGAGGAGTCTGTCCCCTTGCAGCGTTGACTTGTAACAACAGGCGATTAGTCCCACACCCCAGCCTCGTGTCGGCAACCAGGTGAAGGAGGAAGCCGTGTATGGAGGGGTGGTGATGATGATGTCTTCTGCGCACACAGGGAGCTCCCAGTATGTCCTGAAACTCCCTGAATGTCCTGGCTTTCAGTTGGTGATAACCAGGGCTGACCCTCAGGAAGGATGGGGAAAACACCTCTCCCTTGCAGTTACCTACACCAATAACTTTGTAACTCTGAAGGGCAAAGGCGGACTAGGAATGGCTGACAGGGCTGGGCCTAGAGAGTTATGAGGAGTCCACAGATCAGGGCCAGCAAGAGGGACTGCCACACTTGCCCCATGGTGGGAAGAGCCCTGGGCTACCTGGGAAGCATCTTTACCCCTGAGGCAGTGGGTCCCAATCAGCCACCATAGGTGGCGTAGTCTGGACTCAGGAGTAAGGAGCCACATATGTCGGAGGACAGATGAGTCAAGTAGAAACGGAGGCCAACTTGGCCTCAGATAGGATTTCAGCACCGAGCCGAAGGCCGAAGGCCACGAGTCAAAGGCTGTGTGTTAAGAGTCTCCAAATCTCATCTGCTCTATGAACCTGCCCACACCAATGGGAGAAGCCTAGCAATGTGGCATCCCTGGGTACTGTGGCCCATCCGTCTATGCCCTTCTAACTACTCTGATGTGGTGATACCTCTGAGACCCTGAGACTAGCCATCACGAGAACATTCCACAATTCCTACTGGACTCAAGGACCTGGGCTCAGAGCCTCCAGGTCTTTCTAGGACACCCCACCCCAAGCAGAATGGAAACACCTTTAGCAACCTCATTGGCCCACGCCAGCCCCCACGCTCCCGGTGAGGCTGTCACGCTGGCTCCCATCCTCTGGCACCCCCCAGTGTGCCCACTCATTGTCTCTCCCTCCCGAGCCTGGGGCCTTCTCACTCACCAACCTGTTTACACATCAGGTATCTTGTGCTTTATCTGTTCTCATTTTGAATTTGTAACTTTCACATAAACTTGAACAAAGCTTCTTTTGTTCCTGCACCCCACCCCAGGATCCCAATAAACTGGTTCCCTCTGAGGCGACTGGGCCAGGGCACAGAAGCCTTAGCCAGAGGACTGTGTGTGCATGTGAGCGAGCGAGCGGGCGAGCGGGCGAGCGTGTTCCCACCTGCGAGGGCATCTGTGTAGTTGAGAGTGTTCTCCGCAGGGATGGAGGGAGAGCCTCGTCGGGGAGAAGCAGGAATGTGGACAGGAGGGGGGGGCGCAGAAGGGTGGAGCCATTTCAGTAAGGCCTGGGCCTCAGCTGGAACCAGGCTCAGCCAGCGGGCAGCAGAGAGTGTGGGCGCCCCGGACAGGTGGGTGTTGTGTCAGGGGACAAGCACGGACGGAGGAGACAAAGGGTCGGGTGGAGGGGTATAGCGAGTGGCTAAGGAAGATACCGAGGCCACGCTAAGTGTAAGGCAGACACAGGGATCACATTATGGCAGGGTAGGGGCTGGCACAGCCGCACGCTCGGCCCGTAATCCTGTTAGCCAGCAATCTCCATTCCGAAAGAGCTTCATTTCTTTGTGAATATTTGTAAACTAGATATCTAATGGAAAATTATAGGAAAATTATAGTGAAATTCATGACGGAGAAATCCGATTATCCCTAATTCAATTATGCCATCTTAGCCCACACAGCACATTTCCCATTTTTTTCCCATAAATACCGATGCCAGGGGTCCCGGTAATCAAATAAAATTGAAAATCATCTTCCCATTAAATTCAATTAGCCGCAATTTCTAAAGCCTATCAGAGATTTTAATTACTAAATTATAAAATTCTCCAATGCTAAATTGAAACCAAAAAAATTGCACATCCTTATATTTCAGAGAAAAAAAAAAGGGCCAGCAAAATCCTTCAAAACTGTGCCCTTCTGTCCAACTCCAGAGCAGTTTCCCTACCTGGAGAGACCTCACAGTCACTGCTGCCTCACTGCTTGGCAGGGATGCATTTGGGGAGGGGGGAGGGGGAGCACCCTTGCAGGGAGGGGCCAGACATATCCACTAACAGAGGCGCAAACCACACCCCTAAGCCCAGCTAGGACGGTAGCCATCTTCACTATCCTGGCAGTCTTGAGATACCCTCAGCTCTGTCTCTCACAGTGAGGCCTCAAACTGTCAAAGCTACCTTCTTGGTTGGTGAGCTGGGCCACAGCTAGTGGGGGTCGGGGGCAGACAGCTTCTCACTTAAGTGTGGCTCCCAGAACCACTCCAGTGGGCACCTGAATGACCGAGACTGGGTCAGAGATGGGAACAGAATAGCAGACAGTGAGTCTCTGTGTCCCGGGGACTTCTTAACAGGCGGGCATTTCCAGAGTATATGGGACCTGGCAGGGTACCAGCTTCCTGGGACAGGTGAGAGATAAGTGTGGCCCAAATCTGGTGTCCACCTACACTTCCAGCACATTCCGCTGTCTTTTCCCTCTCCAGAGAAGTCAGCAGCCTTGAACTGGCCAGAGGAACACCTTGCCTCACGGAGAGACCTTCTTCTACCTCCTCCCCCTTAAGGGACACGCTAGCCATGGTACCTAGCAGAAGCCCCTCCTCCACACCACTTACCGGCCGATAATGGATGCTCTGTGCTTCAGGAGAGCCCAGGGAGGTGGCATTGATGGCAGCATAAGGTCTGCCCTGTCTAAAACCCAAGCTAGGTGGCTGGGTAGGCAGCTAGTGGCCACAGCAGACTTAGGGGAGTCGGCGGAACCCTACCAGCAGCCCAGCACCCAGGAGCAGGGAGCAGGTCTGATCTGCCAGGCAGCCTGGAGTGCCAGCAGGGGAGGCACCCGCAAACAAAACAAAAACAAAAAAGTTAATTATCTTTGGCTTTTTCTTAATAAATATCCAAACTGGCCCAGCCGGATCCTCCACTTCGGAGGGAGAAAGAAGGAGGAAAAAAAAAAACCCAAACCCAATCCAACAGACTCATTCTTTCTGTGTGCCTACTTTCCCCTTTGTCTCTGGTCCCTGGTTTGCCATTTATCAAAA